TTAACACGATTTTGGGTGTTAAAATATTTACTGTGTAGCTGCCAGAGTAGCGCCACGCTTTTCCCTGTGCCGCCTCTCACCGTGATTGGTCACACGCGGTACCATAGCAACGAGCTGAGCTGGCTCGGTTTCCTTAGCAACCGAGTGACTACCTGTCACGTGACCTCGCAAGAGCCGTGATGTCACCGGTAAGATGGCAGCGCCCAGAGCTGGTGGATACTAGCTTGTTCGGTGCGCGGTAGTCGTAATGTGCCGCTGCTTGACGATGATTTCGGACTTCTTCGTGCTCTCTGACGCAGGTATAACGTGAAGATCTGAAAGAATGAGACTTTATACCTTTTCTGTGCAAGATCGCTCTGGATATTACCACCTGTGCGACAGCATCAGTCCTATCGCCGTAGCGGTGCTCGTATTGCTGGATGTGTTCGAGGATCGATAAGACATTTTGCATGCAATTTTCGCATACTCCTAGCTAGCCTTGTTTGAACGTTGGAATGTCTGAGAATCAATGCGAATTGTATGCGTCGCATGTTGGGACTTGGGGAAGTTGCTTCAGCCCCAGGTAACCGCGTAATCACAAACTTTTAGCGAGGAAGCTCCTGCGATCTTTACGTTTTGTGCTATTCAACGACCTTACGATATAGCTTTTAACATAACATTTTCGCATTTTCGAGCTTCCTTTGAACGTTGGAATTTCTGAGAATCGAAACGAAAGGTATACATCGCGTGTAGGGCCTAGGGGAAGTTGTTTCAGCCCTGGGTCACCGAATAATCACAGCAACTTTAAGCGAGGAAGTGCCTGCGACCTTTAACCTTTTGTACTAATCGACGATTTTACGAATTGAGAGTTCTGAAGACTTTGATAAACGTCCTTTCGTTGCAATAGCTTGCATTTGATCGCAGTGTTCTTTTTTTCAAGTGACAAGCTGGCGTTTGCTCAAATGACGTATATGAAATGACCTGCTCTATAAGAATGCATCAACACACACTATTAAATTTATATGCTCAGAGGTGTGTTCGTCTTTGTAATTAACAAGTTACAGACAATTATTTTTACGAGTGTAATATTTATTTTCTGTAGCTGGGCCCGTTTTGTACTCATTAATGTCCGTGTGCTATGATGCTATCATCATGTGTGTATGGTTCTAAATATCCTCTTTGCAATGCCAACAAAAGCCAAAATGACGACAGCCGATCCCAGCTCACGAATTTGACACGAAACCTGCGTCACTCGGGCGTATGCGCTCGTCAAAAATCAATTCGTCGATGAATATTTCAATTCGCGTTCGTGGCCAATGAGTGCACATGAGTGCACTTGCGAATGACAAGTTCTATGGTGTGCTTAAAAAGCACGGTGGAAGCTTGGGGTTATCGCACCGGTGCCCTAGCATGTCACGACCGCATGATTCCACTGTTCTCTTTTGAGTTGAGGGTTAAGGCTAAGAAAGAAGAAGTTAAAGAATCATTTCATGGGTATGCGTGCTACACCAGATAAAAATATTGACATTTTGCATGCCGGTAAACTTCCGGACGACCACTTGGCCTGTCGGCAAGAACACCTCCTATCCGGCGTCCGTCTCTTTTGATGGCGTTAACAATCCTCTGTAGACCACCGTGCTGTCCTTCTTGGTTTAACCCCGTCGACTGTTCATCGCCCAAACGAGGGTGATACCGTCGTAGACGTCGCTCCCCGCCAGTTGGTGAGATAATCTCATCTTGAATGAATGATTGGGTCTTGAAGAAGTATGGTGCTAAGCACACATTCTCTTACTATGGGGCAGTCAAGCAGCAGTCATGTCCCAAGCCAATTAATTATCCTGTCGTGGCCGGCGTAATCGGATTTTGTTCCATAGGAGTGAAGTCCGAAGTACAAGGACGGTACGTTCGTCCCACGAAGCCGCGTCATCCCGGCGGCGCGGAAAACCACTCGCCTTGTCCGTGCACGGTGCAAATCGTCTCATTTCATAGAAGAAACAGGCACCGCTCCCCCAGAGGCCCGTGCCGTACCGCCATTCAAAGCGTCTTTTAGGTCTTTTACCACTTTTCAAGTAACGAATGGAGATATCAACTAGATAAAGGTTGCCGCCCGGCGTCGCTAGCAGTACGGTTACCATAGAAACCTCCCAGGCCCAAAATGGAGATAACTATAGGCGCTTCTGACGTCGTGTATCTAGATAATTTTGCGTCGTGTCGCTACTCTGGCAGCTACGCTGCCATATAGAGTGGCTCTAATATAGACCTTTCCAATGTTTACAAATCCACAGCTCAGCGTGCGATGTCCACAGCTCAGCACGCGCGTGTGCGTCGCTTCGGAAACCGAGCAAATCACGCGCGTTAAGCACGAACACTGAAATTGAAACCGGCCAGCAGCCCTTTTCTGGAAAGGTCTATACACATTTTTAGGAGACACCAGCTGAACAACCCAAGCACACAAATGTAAGAAGGACGAGAGAGACGCATTCAACCGCTGGATGCGGTTGAATGCGTCTCTCTCGTCCTTCTTACATTTGTGTGCTTGGGTTGTTCAGCTGGTGTCTCCTAAATATGTGTAACCAACGTGCTCAACTCTTTCCGGTGGTCTATACACCTTTGCAAGTGGGATCCCGGCTTAACCTCGAACCGCGCGCCAAGGTGAGGCGGACCTACTCACAAGCCAGGACGTTCGCTGGTTGTCGTACAATGTTGCCAAGCGTCTCTGGCCGAAGCGCACACCACTGAGCGCAGAAAGAAATTTAAAAAATAACAATAAAACGTACACGTGTCGTCTTCGACCGCGAAAGAGCACGGATAATTAAATAAAATGCCTAAACCGGTAACAAATAGAAAAATTTCAAAAAGATCTAAAGTCTTAAGGCGCTCTTCAGAATCCGCCACAAGTCGCATGGCCTTTGCATCAACAATGGCTGCGCTCGAGGCAGCTCTGGCTTCCACAACATGCAGGAACAGAGGCTGCGATCGTTATAGAGTCAGCTCCAACCCTTAAAGATGCCCCGTCCTACAATATGTGATGCTACGATTCTGTGTGGATACCTCCTTCTGCGTTCCGACACAGTAAGTGTGTCGCTAACGTTAGTCATCGGCGATGCAGCAAACGGCACCATCTTGTCATCGCGCACCCCACTGACGTGCCCCTGGCGCACCCCAGCATGGCGGAAACGGTACGGGGCGACAGCATCGCTCAAAATGGCAGCGCACAGGAGCCTTTCTTGCAAACGTGTATATGGAGTATTCACTGGCGGCCATATCCGTGTGCGCTGCTGCTGAGCGCGTGCTGACGGCGAGCTTCCGCAGTCCTTTTGGACCGTGCATTTAGCACCATCAAGGTTGCCGGTCTTAGCAGGCTATTAATGTGAGCTCGTTCTGCCCAGCACCCGCACCGCAAACACATTCTCGATTCCCTGATTAGTTTCGTCCGGGGATTGCCTGTTATATTTAGCCTCCTCCCCACACCCTTCCCATAATCCCCTTCCCCCGTCACGATTGGATGACTTTATCGAGAAATCGTGATGTATCCCATTCCTTTAATAAATACGTTTTCTCACTCACTCACTCAAATCGCCCTCAAATATGGCGTCCAGTGAATAGCTCCTATAGACCGTTTCATTAGGGTCATATAGAGATCAGTGGGGTCATAGCAGAGAGGGCAAAAAGAGAAAAAAATGCCCTCCCCCTCTCCCCCATATGTCATCTGCTCCGCCGAGTGGGCAGTACCTAGCATCCGGCTGGCGTACAAACTCTGTTTAAAATTGCGTCATTTTGGAAATTTCACGCGCAGATGCGCAGATTTTGGTATGCCAGTTATCGTGTATTACTATGCTAGACAAAATTACTAACAGAGTCCAATTGCGCTGTTATCTGCGTGCAAATAAAAAAAAAAAATAGGGGAGACGGTGTCAGACTGGCCGGTCTCCGAGGAAAAGTGAATCCGGTGGCTGTGCCTTTTAGTTCGTACTGGTGTAGGCCTTTAGCGACCATGAGTGGATGTCTGAAATAATAAATAAAAAGGTGCTCTCCTGCCGCAATACACGCAGTAGTTGAGGGTAGTACTGCCGGCTGACTCAACTGCTATTTAAGTAACAGAAAAAAATATATGTCAGTTGATCATTTACCGAAGTAGAACAACAGAGAGCTCTAGGCTGATTTTGGAACAGCCATAACTATTCTAGAAACGCGAACCACTTCACAATGGCAGCCACGAGCGAGAGTTCGATGTTCCGTACAGCCCGCCGATACAGCCCAAAGATGGAGAATGGCAACCTCCCGTTTTGTCGTCTGCTAGCGGAGTCGGGCGCGTGCCCTCTCTCTCGTTTTACCCCGCCGAACCCGCTGAATTTCCCGGATGTATGGAGAGGGCGCTGCTGTCGAACAAAATGGTGCCGCCCAGAGAGCGCTAAATGGAATGGTCTATACACGAGCTTAGGTTGGCAAAGCACAGGACGCTCGCTGAGTTCCAGACATTTTTAGGGTTCGGCTATTGTCGTCACTGCCGCGATTGAAAACGAGCCACTACCCAAACGCTTATCGAGCTATTGATTATCACGACCCCAAGTCGAGTGCAGACGCAATGATCGGGTCTATTCTATGAGCTGCACTCAAACATCATCACCTGCGGGATACTGCAACACCCCAGCTACATAATTCAAGTTTTGCGAAGGAGAGATTGAAAGAAAACGCTTGTTTTTGTCCTTGAAATTACCACGCAACAAATGAGTTTCTTGGCCAGTGGCGTTGCGTGCAAGTATCCTTGGGTTCCACTAGTGCCAGTAAGTTCGTGTAAAGTGAAAAACATTCCACGCGTGTATCGTTGCACGGTTCCTTTAAAACCACCTCGCATGTTTATTAACATTGCTTTCAAGTAACGGAGATCATTATTAATTTCCTGTGTATCGTTTTTTGCCCAATTGTATGTCAGATGACTCATTTCAAATGTCTTCCATATACCTTCAACTTAATAAACACTCCTCTTTAAAAAAAGATCTGGTGTTTACATGTACATGCAGGTGGCCGCTGGAGCGACGATATCGTACCTTCTCCACTTGCATGAGAGTTACGAAGTGTCTGTCGTTGGCGTCATCCCTTCAGGGTAGGTAACTCTTCCAGATCCACCACTGGTACCTGCAGTATGAACAAACTCCGAATAAACAACAACATGCATGAGAATGAAGTGCCAGCAGATTGTTCTTTATAAGCCTTTATGCTGACGATTATGTTATTCATAAAGAGCTTGTTAACAATCCTGATATCTCCGTCCTTCAAACTGATATTAATAATGCCACTCGTTGGTGTGCAGATTGGCTCATGGAACTTAACATTTCTAAATGCAGATCTGAGACAGTACCGTCAAAATAAAACCTGTCATTCCTACTACATCAATAACTCAATTCTGCCATCTGTTTCTTCCTATAAATATCTTGGTGTTCATCTAGCCAATAACCTCTCCTGGAATGTCCATGTCGATTAGGTCCCTAAAAGCGCTAATCAATTAATAGGTTATCTCAAACGAAACTTTTCTCTAACTCGTGCGTCTCCAAAGATTCTTTTATACAAAACTTCGCTATAAACTGGAATATCTGGGACCCCGGTATCACCCTTGCACCTGTGAGGCCATTAGAATCGTTCCGTTCGTTTCATTCTTTCGAACTATACCATCGCACAGCCAGCGTTACCTCTATGAAAGCATCGCTATCCTTACCTAACCTCTCTTTTTGTAGAAAATTATCTCGTTTATGTCCTTTGTGCAAGATTTATCACTCTTTTCCCACGCTTCATGAAACATTATTTATAGAACCATCTCACATACCATTACAAACAAATCTCCAGTTAAAGGTAGGCCTCCCTCTTTGTAACACCCTTCTCACTTAAGGCCTCTTCTCAAAACCTCAATAGATTGGAATCGCGTTCCCGCATTCAAAGTCTCAATAACGGATGCTGCTGATCTTAAAATAGCAATTACTAATTGTCTTGTTGTTCCTTAGTCATTGTTTCTATTTTTGCCTCCGTTCGTTGATACACTCACATATTTGGGTGTTAAAACTCACTTTTCTTTGTAATGCTTTCGGGCTCTGAAAGAAAAATAAAATAAAATTTAATGAAAAGTTGCCAACTTGTCTGGCAGGCGCTGTCGATCACAATGCAAGAAAACCCGAATGAGATGGAAATTAAAATACACTGCCTACGCACATAGAGTAACTGGTGGCGCGAACGTTCCCAACATGGATTCCGGTGAGATACCGTGACAGGCGTGCGTCACGTGAAACCGCCCAATAAAGAAAGATTAGGTGAATAAAGAGATATATGAAAGGAGAGAGAGATATATAATATAGCCATTGCAGAAGGACTGCTAACTGATTACCGCACGGCAGTATAATGCTCAATCAGGTATTGAGTTGGGGCTGGGAGTGGGACCCAGAAACGACACCTTGATTCTGTATTGAATTTTAAACTAGCTTTCGCAGTCCCTATGTGACTCGAATAAAATATGACACATCGACGTTTCTTACCGACACTACATTTACTAGAAGAGCGACATGAAAAGGCGACATAGAAGTAGCATCATCAGCGTGACACCGTCAGCGCGACGTGACAAAGTCACGTTCTGAAGCACAGATCTTCGAATCTGGATATAAACACGATGGCGCCAAAGTTAACAACCAACGAACGTATTCTGCGGAAGAAAGGCTGCCAGGAATGGCCAAAACGTCCTGCAAATTTTTGTAATAGGGAAAAGTAGGCAGTCGCGTATGCGAGTAGATCGCGTGATTGCCCCAAAAAGACAAGGTCAAAGATTTGTTTTGTGCATCTCTGAGGGGTTGTTTCCTCCAGGTTCCCGGATCCGCTGACGCCTTCGTGGAGGCACTCCTTGAGCGTGTTACCCGACGCGGCGGCCATCGCCTTGGTACAGTTCGTATCGGCAGTGTCCATGGCAGAACTGCTGGGACGCAAACAGCGCCTGAACGTAGACGCAAGGCAGGTAAGCGACTCTCAGGATTCTGGCCCAAATCCTACCCAGCTTTTCAGGGCCCAGGTGAAACATACCGAGTCACTGCGACGAAGGTGCGGCGAATGCCAAATATCGGCTACTGCGCTTGCTCAGAACGCGCTCCAAAGCCCGGTTGACAAAGAATGCAGCGCACAAAAGGCGATTATTGGAATGGTCTTTCTGACGTCACGCACTGCGGTACCGCTGAGCTGTCGGCATCGAGCATGTGTAGGCGCTTCAATTTACGCGAGGATGGTTTCTGCGCAGTGGCCACACCTTGTGCGGGAAAACGTGCGCTCGTTTGTAAACAGCGAGTTGGTTGTTGCAGGAAATGCTGGCGTACGGCGTGAGCAGCGTGGTAGGCTCCTTCTTCCAGTGCATCCCGACGGGCTCTGCCGTCGCCCGGTCCATCATCCTCAAGGACGTCGGAGGACAGACACAGGTGCGTGACGGCGGCGAATGACCAGAGACGATGGTATTCGTGCGGTGATGCTCTTGGATATGTCCTTATCAAATATACTCGAAACTTCAAGTGCTTTGCTGAGGTGAACCCCAAGTTTATGGAATCGTGCTCGCGCTTTTGTGGGTCGATAGGCCGCCGTACATAAAGTGTGCACACACACTTTATAGGCTTGCGCGAATGGTCGAACCAACGAGCGAATGCACAATGACGCGTACAAGACAACACGTCATGTTTATAGACTATCAGTTCTCCGTGCATCGTACTGGCGCGTCGCACTGCGGTCATTCCCGATTCGCCCACAAATAGGATGACAACAGCACCACAGCTTGTCGCTATTTCCCCAATGACGGCCGGATAGTTTTTTTGTTGTTGTTCTTACCGGCTCGCTTATATAGCCAATCACGGCTTTCTTTGAACAAAAATGGTGAACGGGCCATGCGGTTATAGCCAGTAACGGGTTGCCATGAAAACAAAAAGACAATGGAGTATGTTCATTTCGGTGCAATTTGGCCAATGAGTTGGGTCAAGGCCACGTATACCGATAAAAACCTCTTCATTCCCAGCTTTTTCTTCTTGGAACGTCATCAGGCTACGACGGTGGCAACTCAGCTGTTGGTCGCGAGTTCGATGCGGACGCATTGATTGGACACGAGCCCTAGCCGAACCCTGACGCAGTACTCGGCGTGTCCAGTCTCTGCTCACGCTGGGTCGTAGTGTGACGGCATTAGATTTCAAATGCCTTCCATTTAACTGATGTTGTCTATTGCGACTGCCGCCGTTTTGGTGGAGTGTTGTGAGAGTATACTGAATTATGTATCCTGAACAAATGTGCGATCGGAAGTCAACAGGAACATAGCTGTGTTCCACTGAAATATGTTACGTAATTTTTTGGTAAACCAATTATCTTGCTATGACCAGTGGCAATGGTACCTACGGACGTTCTACTTCCTGGTCCAAACCTAGAAAAAAAAGTCTTTCTGTCTCTTTCTCTCTACGTGTCTTTGGCTGTGAGGTTTCAGAGCTGCCTGCCAAAGATTCTCTTCAGCCTTGATGACGTTGCATTCCCTTGTGCAACAGGGTTTCGCGTTTCCTGCAGAGGTTTGGAAGCATATATTTGATCCTGTGAAGTCAGAATAAAACAGCAATACCCTATTACTATGGAAGAGGGATAATCTATCGCACAGCATTTTTCAAGATGTAATAACACTGTAGCGACGAAAGTGTGCAACGTATACCATTAGAGCGTTTGTCTATTTAGGTTTCAGGGCTGGTATCCAGCGCCGTCGTGGCCGTCACACTCTACGCCTTCGCTCCACTTTTCGAGCCTCTACCAAAGGTATGCCTCGACCTATCACATGTCGCTACTTTTTGAGATATGATTGAGAAGCAACACTATAAGCTTCTGCATTGTTGAAAGCTCCTCAGCTTGCGTATGCCCCTCACCGCCATATTTCTATTTAAATATATTACGAATAGAATAATTTGCATTGCCCCCCTTTGTCATTCCTTGACTCTTCAATAAGTGTACACTGAACATAAGAACCAACACCTTCTGGTCGGTCTCTCACCTTTTTTGTTAGGGTTGTAATGTAATATATTTAATTAAGTAAGCGGGATAGGATGCGCGTATGCAGGCACGTGGTAAAGGCGCAAACCTGCAGAATAAAGCGGGTTTCACATGCAGCGATTTTGGCCCTACAGCGGCGCGACTTCTGCCGTCGTGGCTCTCCGGCCTGCCGCAGCGGCTGAGCGGCATTGTTGCACCAGGTTGGAAATATTTCGCCGCGGCAGAGCGGCAGCTTCCGTGCTGGCCACTCACAGCGCGGCGGGAAATCACGTGACAAGAGGGGAAACATTGCGGGAAAGCTGGCGCATAGGATGGCGGCGTTTTCAAGTTCTTGAAGCAGATGACTAGCAGAGAAAGTAGGCAAGGGACTGGTTTGCGGTTTCTTTTCTCAGGCGGGTCAAGCTGCTTTGCTTCTGCGGTCGCGTCAGAACTGTTCAGGAGACGAGGAGGGGGACTGCTGTCCCCTTCCTCGGAATTCGTTTTCTCAATGAATTACGCGGCTCTTTTTTACTTTCCTCGCCTGAGTACCAACTGTAGCGAGTGCAAGAGACGCTAATCGGAAGCGGCTAGTGCGAGCGCTAGTGAGAAAAGCGAAAGAAGAACTGAACGACGTTGACGTGTCTTTTCCAACATAGATCGTCACACTAAGTAAGACAAAATGTATCGCGCCCCGTTCAATGAACTGCTTATCAGACAAGTGTCGAAGCGTCGGGTTCTTTGGGACGCGCAGCTCAAAGAATATAGGAACAATGGGACCAAAAAAGAAACTCTGGGAAGAGGTGACTGAGGCCGTGAAAGTGTTCGACAAGACCGGTATGAAACCACTGCACTACTATGGGAGGTTCGGATCCAGGAGAGTCGGGTCAGACATATTAGTTGAAGTTTTTACATCCGAGGAGGGCGCTGCCCGTGACGCTGCATGCCGAGGATGATCCGAGGTTTCATCCTCCGCGACAACAAAGTTTGAAAAAAAAAAAAAAAAAAAACATAGGCCAATAACACTATGGTTTATTTAGTAGTTTAAACGCTTTTTTTTTCTTTTGTTAAGGCGAAATTAAAGGGAAAACTGAAAACTAAGGCATTACAATTGCTGTTAGAAACCGCTGTAACCGGCTGTGCGCATCTGCTTGGTGCAAGCAACATTGGCCATCGCAACGGCAAAAAACCCTCATGTGAAATGAAACCTCGCGATCGGTGCCGCAGCGCCGCTAACGGCAGCGATTTCGGCCGCGGAATCGCTGCATGTGAAACCCGATTAAGAGAACGCCTATATAGCGTCGAGCCCTATTGTGAGTACGTTCGTACTCACAATAAGGAGTTTTCGTAAATCGTTTTCGCCGTCCAGCAACGCTCTCGGCAACCCGCTATACGATACCCGGAACTCCATAGTCGAGGCCCTCGGCGCGCAGGCTCGATCATGCAGTAGCGGCTTCTTCGTTGCGGAGGGCTTAGCGGAGGGAAAAATGCGTTCTACGAAAGCTCTCTAATGTCAAGGTTCGTATACGGCGAGTTGATAGAACTATTGGCAAGGTGAGCGATCGAAACCGTCGCGGTGGTCTGCCTGCCACAACTGGCCGAATGTTGTCAATGACGTTAGCAAAAGTTTTCTCATCGGCGGAAATAAGACCAATGTAAGAACTTCAATTTCGACTGTGTTGGCAGTGTTGGTTTGAGAGCTCAATAATTTCAAGCTTCCACCATGCTACTTACGAACAACACCGAATTTGTTGTTCGAAAGGTAATGACGTCACGAGAGGGAACCATACCAGGGCGCCTCCAAAACAGCTCGCCGCCAATTAGCGCCGAGATGTTTCGGTGGCGCCCTCTTATGGTTTCCATCCGTGACGTCAAGACTGGGATTTGCCTCGCCGTGACGTCACCAGTTGTTATCCTGGCTACTTACCATCAGGTGTGACGACGAGTTCGGTGGTGTGTTTAAAAAGCACAGTGGAAGCTAGGAGCCCTCGCAATCCGAAACTAACACCGTCAAGGTTGACATTTTGACAACGCTCATATGCCCATGGTTTGGCCAATCATGGAAAGCTGACCGCAGCGACGTTTTTGGTCGCGCACATCGCTAATAGGTAGAGTGCCTTCATACACACGCGCGCAGTGCCTTCATACACACGCGCGCAGTGCCTTCATACACACGCGCACTTTTGCTTGAGTGGTGACATCTCAGCCATTTTTCCGCTCAATCGTTTTTTTATGCATTTTGAAGTGCGCGCAATCCGGTGTCGCTCAGCTCGAGCGCGTAGCTTTGGCTAATGCATAGACGCCATTTTACCGCCCGATTCACGCACTGAGTGCGCGAGAACGTCACGCGCTGGCACATTCAGGGCAACAATGGATGTCCTCACCCTGACACAGACAGACATCTAGGCACCCTACTAATAGGGGGAACCATGTCCAGCTTGTTTTTTCCAGTGTTGCGTGTTTACCAACACAAGGCATGTGCACTGGATTCTTTACATAATCTTTCTCGATTGAGCGCGGCGCAAAGATTTTCCACGACTCGTTCCTAATAGACATGTTGCAATACGTTCAGCGCCACGACGGCAGGGGATTTTGGGAACCCACTTTTAATCCCTCTTTTCTACCCCTTACCTCCATTGATTGGAATCGCCTTCCCACACATATAGTCTCAATAACTAACACTGCCGATTTTAAAAAGGTTATTATCATCGTGTTAACAGATGTTGCATTGCGCGTGTTTTTGTTGTTGTTGCTTTTTTAGAGCGCAGCTCTTAGGGGCCCGTTCCCGGCGTCGCCGTCGGCGTCGCCGTCGGCGTAACCAAGGTCATCCCAAGGTCACGTGACCCCTCCAGGTCACGTGACCCCTCCTAAGGTCATCTCAAGGTCACGTGACCCCACGTGACTCCCAAGGTCACGTGATCCCTCGAGGTCACGTGACCCCTCCCAAGGTCATCTCAAGGTCACGTGACCTCAAGACCCCACGTGACCCTTTGAAGGTCACGTGACCCCCAAGTCACGTGACCCCTCTTAGGTCACGTGACCCCCGAGGTCGCGTGGTCTCCTCCCCAAGGTCACGTGACCCCCAAGGTCACGTGACCCCTCCCAAGGTCAAGGTCACGTGACCCCAAGGTGACCCCCACGTGACCCCCAGGTCACGTGACCCCTCTGAGGTCACGTGACCCCTCTGAGGTCACGTGACCCCCCGAGGTCACGTGACCCCCTCCCCGAAGTCACGTGACACCCCCCCCCCCCCGAGGTCACGTGACCGCCCCCCCGGAGCATATTAAAGAATGAGGGGAGGAGGAGGGGTCTACCCTCCCCTCAGTACCCTTCACTCCTCCTCCTCAAGAGCTGCGCTCCAATTCGGCGTTACAGGGATTTGTAAACGGCTTCCACTTTTTGCCTCACTCAACTATGTTACTTTTATGTGTTAACCGCCCACTCCCCTCTGTAATGCCTTCAGGCCCTGAGGGGATAATAAATGAAATGAAATGAAATGAAATGAAAAAGGTCACGCGCTTTCTCGTTGTGTCTCCGCGACGGCATGTGAGTCGCGGCAGCTGCCGCCAGCAGCCACGGTTATTATTATGAACCTAAACCAGAACCACGCTGTAAGATAATACTCTTCAGGTGAGGATAGCGCGCTCCTCGCGACGTGCCGATAAAGTTCGCTTTTTACTCTCTCTCTCTTTCTCTCTCACACTATGGTTTCAATTGGCGCCGGCGGATGACTCGCCGACCCGTGGGCACGGTGTAAGACGAAGGAGGCAGGCAGCAATGCACAAGACGGCTCGTGCCGCCTCGTGCTCCACACGCGCAGAGCTCCAGCGAGGTTGTCGCACGTGCAGAAAGAACACGGTGTACCGGGGTGTCATGGAAACGAGATAATTTCCTTCGCTCTCACACAGTTTCGCCGTTTGGCCGCCAGCGACACTGTCAGCCGCGGGCACGGTGGCCGCGAAATGATGCAGCCTTTCGGATGCCCATCAAACGAACGCTATCTGATTCCTCGCGCCGCGCGTTTAGCCCCGCCGTGTCCTCAGCTAAAGAGTGTATCTTACACCGTGACCAGAACTATACCCAAAACGTTCTCGGATGGTTTCTGTGGTGTCTATGGTCGTTTTCGCGATTTGTTTTCGTGAGTGTCAATTGGTTTGGCATTATGATTATTCATAGGTTCGAGGCTAGTGGCTAAGCAATAAAAATGAACGTAAAGAAGGCGTATGTGCGAGTAATTTTTAAACATTAATTTATAAACGTTGCCACAACAATAAAGCATACATAGGCCACAAGGTTCGAGGCTAGTCGCTAAGCAATGAAAACGAACAGAAAGAAGGCGTATGCGCGAGTAAGCTTTAAACATTAATTCATAAACGTTGCCACAACAACAAAGCATACATAGGCCGCATCAATGAACCGCTGAGATCGTAAACAGTCACACCTGGAGCGGGCTTCGCTAGCGGAAGTGCTCCGGAACCGAGTGGCATCGCTGCCTGGTTGGTTCTACACGAAGCGCCTCGTCCGGAGGCTGCCGATTTTTTAGCGACCCCTATTCTAGATCACTGCAGTTCCGAGGACTCCCATAGTTCGTCGCGCGGCAAGCGCGGACTTTTGGGATTTTGGCAAAGGGTCTATTTTGACCCCGCGCTCCGTCGAGAAAGATGAAGTAAAAAAATCTGTGAGTGCTGCGTCAACAGCACAAACAAATCGTCAACGTTGTTGTTGCCCCCCTCGGTGTAGTTATCAACTTATCCACTAGGGGCGCAACGGTTGGATCTTCTTCCCTATTAAGTCTTCGACTTGCTCGTTTCATCCGCAGTGCATCTTGGGCGTTGTGATCATCGTGGCCCTTGTGCCCATGTTACTCAAAGTGAAGAACCTGCCCAAGCTGTGGAAGACGAGCCGTTCCGACGCGGTAAGCTATGTGTAGCGGGAGGCGAATAGAAGGTACAGTCGCCGTGACAAACCACGCACTCATTGTCACACCAAGATTGCATGTTCCTGTCTTTAAAGGGACCATGAAGGCAATTTAATTTTTTTTTTTTTTTTTAGAAAAGAAGGTGTTTTTGGAAGCATTCGGGTCCTGGCATGCCACAAAATTTTTTCTAGAACGTTGTGACTCTTATTTCTGTACCTGCAAATAAATTTGCGAAACCGAAACACACATTCAGATTTCTTCCCTTTTTCGCCTCTGGAAAGAGAAGTGACGTCAGGTAGCACTGTCGGCATCGGTAGGATTTAGTGCACACTCAGTGTGGCTCCCGTGGTTCGCTGTAGTGCGCGGCGGTCTGTGAAGAAAACCTGGAAGAAATGGACGACAACGCCGCGCTCGCAAACGAGTTTGAGCTCCCGTTCAGCGACCTCACGCCGACTGAACGGGAGATGCTGCTAAGGACACAGAACTCTGGATTGGCGCTTTACGAGGGCGCCCCAGACCTACCACCAACTCCTCGGTCGCCGCCTCAGAGCGACTCCCCGCCCCACTTTTACCCAGACTCCGGCTGACGTGAAGGTGCTGCTCAAAGTTTTCTGGTCGGAAATGCAACGAACAAATCCTGACACCGCTGTCCACAGCTCTACGGCGCTCAGCCAAGTGCTGCGCATTGCTGTATCGGTCGGCAGTTTATGCAAACTAACGTCGCCCGATCGACCGCATGTCTTTAGCCGACCTTTCGCGCAACCTACTACTGCACATAAACACGGCATGATTGGTGAGACACCAGTTCGCAAAGCGAACACGAGACGAAGCACGAAACCAAAACCAAAAGTCCGCCGGCCCCGGCGCTCGTACCTTTTTCTCTTTTTTTGTCCATGGTTGCTCGATGCTTGTTACGCGCCCGAGGTAGCAGTGCGGGATGCGTTCAACCAGTGACAAACGGAGGGATCGCTTCAGATTATGCTTTTATACACGGTATGAAACCTATTAATTCCCAACTACAACTTCAAAATATTATCCAACCGTTCAAATAAACTTTTTTCATCACATCTCACCACCGAAATCGAAACCAAGAGCGCGCCTATCGTTTGAACCAATCGCCAGACGAGGAGCCCGTTGTCGTCACGCTTCGACGGAGCACTTTAGTTCACCTTTCTGCCGCCGCCTCGGTTGGGTCTCAGGCATCATTCCATGCGCTAATATTACCGCGCCTGTTTGCTCGATTGGTGCGGCACCCAAACTTCTGTTCGCGCTAGAACTTGGTCAACAGTATCTGAGACGTGCCTGACATCCATTTCAATCGTCGAATAAAACTTCGAAACTGCCTTCATGGTCCGTTTAATTTACAGTTCCATCTTGGTGCTTCGTCGCGTATAGATGCGCTCCACTAAATAAAATTATTTTCGTTATTTAATATATTTATGCGTTCATTGTACGCTCGAGGACATACTATATCTGGGGGTCTGGGTTAGTATTCGCGCAAGGGAGCTCGTATACGAATGCGTGATACTTTCTCGGTATACACCAATGTTCGGCTTGCGAATCTCACCTCATCTGTGGTCATAGCAACGCAATTGAATTTGATACATTTAGATAGGACGGGCGTGCTGTTCGGTAATTGCTGGGTAGCTGTAATTCCTTTTCCTGGTATTGCCACTGCAAAGGTAGCTAGTTGGCCTGGGAGTGTCGCGAAAGCCGCGTCTGTGTAGACGGCTAGCTTGTCACCCGAGCTTTCCCAGGCCTGGATTCGTTTGTTGGGGCTACGGGCATGCGAAGTCTGACAATCTGGATGTCTGAAACTCGCGTTCTTCGGGATCGTCTTGCCTTCCACGAGGTCAATGTACTCTATCCAAGGGAGGGTCATTCTCTGGTAAGTCGGGAAGCGGAAGCTGAAATACTTGAATTAAACTGAGAATGATTCTGCCGGGTCGTGAGTGTCGTAGTCGTTCACGGTGGGCGACAGATCGCAACATTACAGTTTCTTTTAAGGTGTTGAGTTGGGTATGTCCCATGATTGTCGCTATTGGTGTGAATCGGGTAAGCCGGCGATGACCCGCGCATTGTCGTTAAGAAAACCACAAAGTGGATAAACGCCTGGAAAGTAAACGACGACGTGTAGAAGCGTTATGAAAGCGACGAGGTGTAGAAACTTCGGCAGAAAAATATGAGTGCGAGTCACCACAACATCTGAGCTTCATGCCGCATGACAACCAATACTAAGGGTAGCTTGGCATGCCGCATACGAAGCGTATGTACCACGTTAACCAACGTTCGAACGGTGTCTACAGAGTACCGTTTGTATGATGCACAAGTAATGAGACCCCGACTTTATAATCCCAAGCCTGTGTATGATGCACAAGTAATGAGACCCCGACTTTATAATCCCAAGCCTGTGTATGATGCACAAGTAATGAGACCCCGACTTTATAATCACAAGCCTGGCGCGTTCAAGTAAAAAATGCAGTGTCAACAAGAAACAGATGATGGATCACAGAGTATTTAATCGGTTCCCTAAGATAACACACACCATATCGCAAAGAAATATTAGCTGTAACAAACTAGGTCCCTTCGCTATACATCGTCCATAGCGCTGCACGGAACTTCCGAGATGGCGTATGGATTTCTATACCCTCATTTTGTCTCTAGTGAGTCGGCCCCTAATTGTATCAATGAATAAATAAATATTAGATCCAAGAGAAGGCATTTGAGACGGAAAATGAATAATGTCGAAGTACGAAGGAAGAGTGCTGATGAGCCGTTGAAGGCATCTCTAACAGTTCTGAGACGCAGCAGACCTAGACCTTCTTTATTACCCTACTATCTTTCATTAAACTAAAGCCTCGGTCACGCCACTAATTCATTACAGAAACTACAGTCGGCGGTCACTGTCCGCCTTCTGTATTTGTATAATGCTCCTCCTTGTCTCACATTGGTCATACAAAAACTGTACGTGATCGAAGCATGTATAAACTGCTTTGAACATGCTTGCGGAGTCTCCGGAGATAATTCTGTCAGCGTTTCTGCAGGATGTCTTTTGTGTGAGCAGTGTGACCCCGGCTTCAGGGTTAAAAGCATGCTCGCGCCTGGGAAGAGTTTGTAGCACCGCAGGTATAAGCCCCGATATTGTTCCCCGGCCGTTCCAGGCGTTGTGGCTTCTGAGTTGCGTCAGCGTCATCTTCCTCGATGTCACCTACGGCCTGATTGTGGGAAGCCTGCTGGGACTACTCATCATCTTCCTCAAGCTGAACAGGTACGGACCAGGAAACGCTGTTTACGGTCAAGTCCACGTTTGCCCACGCCAAGTGTTGCGAGTGCTCCACGGGCGCGGAACCCGTACGAAAATGTCAGATTCAGGCCGGAATGAAAAATGCCGGTTCCGCCTAGACCCAAAATTGGGGCACCAGTTTGTATCCAGCCTGGAACCGTGCATTTCCAGCCCTAATTTTAAACCCAGGCGGTGCGCTGCCGGAATTCCCGCTGCGCTCACCACTGGACTCTACAAAATAATTTCGTGTTATGCCCTTAGCCGCTACAACCGAGAGATCGTCGTGATTTCAGACCCAGGCGGACTGGGTCTGAAATCGCGACGATCTCTCGCTTGTAAGGGCTAGGGGCATCGCACGAAAGACTTCTGTAGAGTCCAGGGCCCGTTTGCTCGAACCACTAACCGCGGCTAAAGTTAGCCGCAGTACCTAGGAGAGGGATTTTGAGATCACGTGACTGGCTCGGTAGGGATGCGGGGAAACATGGCGGTGCCCCAGTGAGTGAGCGCCGCTCGCTTTGGAACTAATATGTCGTTGTGGTTGCAATATCGGGCGCGTTAGTCAGCAACGAATGGTGCAGGAGGCTTTCGCTTCGCCTTACCTCACTTAAACCGCAAAGCATGGGCAATGACATCACCGCATTTTTTAAATTGTGTTTTGATTCTGGGCACTCCTAAGCCTAAATGAACGGTTGCCCTTGCAAATGACGAGGTGGATTTTATAAGAAAGTGTGGCAGGTTCGTGTGACGGAGCGTGGGCGTGGGTGATGCCGCATGTTATTGGTTTGATTTGTTTGTTCTCTCCCCTTCCTCCTTTCTGTGTTTATTTCTCTTTCTTCTGAGCAATAAATTTTCAGCTGTAAGTCAGCGCCCTGTCTGTGTGTTTCTTCGACCTCGTCCTACGTCCTTTTTGCGCTGTTCCCTCCAAACAGTATGTACCACCAACTAGCCCAACTACATGCCTTGCTAAATGAACGCTATAATTGTCGGCATAGCAACCAACGTCTTTGGGAAGCTGATTGTTGATAGCAAACAAAAGCAGACGGCGTCCCAACAGACCTTTTTTTTCTAAATTATCCAAGCACCGAGGTGCATGCTACGACTGTAGCTGCACGCGTCGCACGTGCTGGCGTTTGCAGTAGTAACCGTTCTAAAGCAAAAAGTATGAAACAAATTTTGCCTTGCACGCGCGTTCGTTAAAGCCTTATTATGATTTTTTACTTCAAATCTTTTATAAGAGGAAGGCCAGCGCGCGTGAATTGTAGAATCACACTTCCAGCGTTCTCCTCGCGATGCTTGGATAATATAGAAAAAAGTATGTTGGGACGCCGTCTGCTTTTATGTGCGATCAACAATCCGCTTCCCAAAGACGTTGTCATGCCGACAATTATCGCGTTCATTTAGGCTTAGGAGTGCCAAGAATCGAAATACTATCTAAAAAATGCGGCGATGTCATTGTCCATGCTTTGCGGTTTAAGTGAGGTAAGGCAAAGCGAAAGCCTCCTGCACCATTCGTTGCTGACTAACGCGCCCGATATTGCAGCTACAACGACATATTAGTTCCAAAGCGAGCGGCGCTCACTCACTGGGGCACCGCCATATTTCCCCGCATCCCTACCGAGCCCCAGTCACGTGATCTCAAAATCCCTCTTCTAGGTACTGCGGCTAACTTTAGCCGCGGTTAGTGGTTCGAGCAAACGGGCCCTGGGGTGAGCGCAGCGGTAATTATGGCGGCGCACACGGTCGTCCAGGCGTCGTCATTAAACAGTGCACGGAACACACACACAGCACGCACAAGCACAGTATCCAGTGTTGAGTGCGTCGGGAAGTTCCGGAGGGCAAGCGGTATCCGAGTTGCCCAAGTATTGTCACCAAGCACACCAGCGCATCCAGATGCCGAGCCAAAGTGCAATGGGTCGGCAGCTTCACACTATATAAAGCCGAGGTCAGTGGTTATCCATCCAGGGCAACGATAGGCGCGTCAGTATCCGTGCGCCCGCAGCGCGAACGTCGCCGCCGGCCGGCAGTCCGACAGGAGCGGAGAAGAACCGAAACTGTCGAAGCGCTGCCGCTGACTGCAACAGACAATGAATGCAAGGCGCGCGTCGTCGCCAAACACGGTGCACGGAACACACACACACAGCACGCACAAGCACAGTATCCAGTGTTGGAGTGCATCGGGAAGTTCCGGCGGGCAAGTGGTATCCGAATTGTCCAAGTATTGTCACCAAGCACACCAGCGCCAAGCGCATCCAGATGCCGAGCCAAAGTGCAATGGGTCGGCAGCTTCACACTAAATAAAGATGCAAAGCCGAGGTCAGTGGGTATCCATCCAGGGCAACGATGGGCGCGTCAGTATCCGTGCGCCCGCAGCGCGAACGTCGCAGCTGGTCGAGCGCCGACCGACCGTGCTACGAGCGCGAAGAACAAAACTAAACTGACTCGGAGACAGTGATGTTCCATACCATGTCCGAGAATTCCCTTTCTTGGGTACGAAAATTCCCTACTTGAGGAGCTTTTTCCCTGCAAAATTTTGAAATATCCCAGCATATTTCCCTGCATTTTGTTACCTTTATTTTCGCATCAGCTGATTTCTGTGGGCATGCAGGCCACTATGAGCGCATTTTACCACAAAAGCTGCATGAAATCGCATGTTTAAAGAGAGGAAAATGTTCACTACCGAAAAACCCAGTATAACTTTTCGCTATGTGGATTACAGAACATTTCAGGTTTCCAAAACAATTCCAGTTAGATTTCCAGTTTCATGAGTGAAAAATTATACTGTTTCTTTGGTAAGGTAAAGTACATCTATAATGTACTTGGTGTAAAGTACAAAGCAAATGAGAGCTTATAGTAAGGTAGTAATTGTACATTGGGTGCAATTTACTTGAGGTAAAGTACTATAAATATCACGTATTTCCAAAGCTACAAGTACTTTTTAACACAGTCTTTCATGGGGGTAACTGAGGGTGATCCAGTTATTTTCCAGTGAAGTCAAGTGGCCATGGAGTAGTTGTTTCAATTTCGCTGACAAACTATTTAACACCATCATCCTATACGGAACTTATTTGCATCGGTCTTATAGCCGCCATTACTTTACTCAAAGAAATTACCAAATGACATCTTGAAAAACGATAGCGTGTTTTAGAGCCCAGCTCTTAGGGGCCCGTTGCCGGCTTGAGTGGCGTCGGCGTCGCCGTCGGCGTAACCAAGGTCACCCCAAGGTCACGCGGCCCCCAGGTCATCCCAAGGTCACGTGACCCTTCCCCCAGGGTCACGTGACCTCCAAGGTCACGCGACACCCAGTCACGTGACCCCCGAGGTCACGTGACCTCCCCTGAGGTCACGTGACCACCCCCAGGGTCACGTGACCCCCCCACCCGTAATCCGCATCGTCATCGTCACTGATGACGTCATCAGTGACGTGACTAATGACCTCACCGGCATCCGCATTGTCATCATCATCACTGATGACGATGACGATGCGGATGCCGGTGACGTCATCAGTGACTATGACGTCATCGGGGAGGTCACGTGACCTCGGCGGGGGGTCACGTGACCCTGGGGGTGGTCACGTGACCTCGGGGTGTCACGTGACTTCGGAAGGTCACGTGACCTCGGGGGGTCACGTGACCTCCGTCGCCGGCATCCGCATCGTCATCGTAATCATCACGAATGACGTCATCAGTGACGTCACCGACATCCGCATCGTCATCGTCATCATCGCTGATGACGTCATCGGAGTCCGCATCGTCATCGTCACTGATGACGTCATCAGTGACGTCACTGATGAGATCATCGGCATCGTCACGTGACCCCACAAGGTCACGTGAACCCCCAAGGTCACGTGACCCCCAGGTCACTTCAACCCCCCCCCCCCCAGTACCCTTCCCTCGTCCTCCTCAAGAGGTGCGCTCTAATTCGGTGTTACAGGGAGTTGTAAACGGCTTTCACTTTTTTTACATAACAGTACACTTTTTTTTTTAACCGGAGAATATATTTTGAAGTCGGAAGTTGTACCTTTGCTCGGAAAGTACCGGAAAAAAATTACTTTAAATAAAGTACAAGTACATACTCGGAGATTGTACTTCGAGTTAAGTATACGTTTTCTAAACCTACTTGAAAAAGAGTAGTTCAGAGACCTTTTTCCTGCACCACAACTTTCTTTCTCTTCATAAAACTTCTGGACCACTCGACTTTCTTGTGTTTAGTTTCCTCTAGAGCTTTTCCCGAATTTCCTTGTTAATCCTTAAAGTTCCCTGCAAACATGGTAAAATTCCCATTTTCCTTTTCACCAAAATTGAGACCGAAAATTCCTTGAAAAATGGAAAATTCCCTGCATGGAACATCACTGCTTGGAGACAAAGCCAGGCGCGCGCGCCGAGAACGCCCGCTCGCAGCGCCTACGTAGGGGATGCACCGGAGGCGCCTGTCCCTAACACGTGACACGCGAGAGACCGCGAAAGTTCTCCGCCATCCCCCCTCCGCGCCCTATTTCCAAAAGCCGAATTCAAAGTTCCCGCGCAATCCGCGCCAGTGCAGTGACGTCGAAGATTGAGTCGTCCTGCAACTCGAGTTTCGTTTACGCCCGCGTCCCGCGAACAACCGCTCCGTTCGGGCCGCCTATCGCTGTGAGCAAACGACGCTTCACTTCCGAGTTTGAAGCTGTTTTATGGCCCTTTCAGCGATCTCAAATTCTTTGAAGCAGTGTGAAGTCAAAGAGAACGCGCAGTGAACTTTTGTGACCGACGCGAGGGGCCATGTCGCGCCGGTTCTGCGTGAAAGGCTGCCCCGGCGGAGTCACAACCGAAACTGCGGTACACATGACACCAAACCCAGTTATTTTGACCGTTTGACGATTTCCTTTTCGAAGTCTGAGGGGTCGTCGGGCACCTGAAACAATTGCGGTGGCTTTACTCGGCTATGCCAGGATATACGTAGCGTGAGCTTATGCGCACAAAATGAGAGGCGCTATCAAGCGGCTTCTGTGCAGCGTCAGACTTGGCTACTGCGCAACGGAGGCGCACAGCTGGGGACGCGGCGGCGCCAGTGCGTTTGCCGCGGCTATGACGTCACTCCTCTGGAATGCGCAGACCGGCCAGGCACGCGCGGCGGCGGCGGAGCGCGCGCCAGCTGTGCGACGTATGACGTCACTGCTCCTCGCGCTTGCGCAGTACGGCTCTTTCCGCTCATTCACACTGGAAGCGGATCCGCGTTCGCAAAGCGGTTGCGAATGCGGTTGTATGAAGATCCAGTACAATTGCACGCGTACTCGATGACATCAAGCGAGCGTGCAATCGTACTGGATCCTTATACAACCACGTTCGCAACCGCTTTGCGAACGCGGATCCGCTTCCAGTACGTGTGAATGAGCGGTTTGGGAGTCACGCGAAACTGCTCAACCTCGGCCAGTGTAGCTCACGCTACAAAAGAAAACTTCTTCCGATTCTCCGACTCACCGATCATCTTTAGTGCTACTTGCGTCGAGCGCCGCCATATTTTCCGAGGAAGGATAAGAAGCAAAGCGGCGACATCACACCGGACTCCGATTTTCGGTATTTCAAAAAGGGTGCGCTCGCAAATTGCGTTCAAAACTATGTTTTACGAATTCCGTTATGAAATGTTATAGAAATATCACTTACAGAACTCCTAAATTGCATAATCGATTACGTCACAAATAAAAGGAAGCGAAGAGGTGAGGAGCGGGAGAGAAGAACGCAAAAAAAAAAAAAAAAGCAAGCGCGCGCGCGTGGGAAACTTTTTTTTTTTTTTTTGCGTTCTGGTATTTTTTTGCGTGTCGTTTACTATAACTTGCATCGTTTTTGACAACAAAAATTAATACGACCTTTAGTATGTCAGTGCACGCCTCTTTAAAGAACGACTATTACGTCAAATTTTACTCGAGCAGTAAATTGGAAATAACGAGGTAAAATGTCGGCATTCTAAAACAATAACTATACATCTGAAAAACGCAACCTCAATTAAAGTGTGCTTTTTAATATTTTTAGTCTCCTTAATGGTAGTAATGTAACATCTACCAGATACTTAAGGCGACGCTTTGTGATATATGATTGTGCTGACTTTCTCTGCTTCGATGCAGTCACGAGGGTATATACTTACAAGCATACAGCAGCGACATATTTCTGCCTTCGGGATCACATATCTCTTGGGTAGGTAAACTTTCATCTTTACATATTACCCTTAACACATGTTTCGCTCTCTAACGTAAGGAAAAATGCTTTTAAGCACACCGAAGTTTAAGCAGCAAATATTTAAATCGCGATATTTAGGTATACCTCATAACGCGAGTAAATGCTCGTAAACCGAAATTCTCAATCAAAATTATTTGGAATGGTTATTTTATCGTTCGATTTCACACGTCAGCAGTCAAAGAATGCTGTGGATAGTCACTGTCGCTCACATAACATTTGACTGCTCGCCTTTGTCCTTGCTACAGCATGACGGTATTGTCATATTCCGATTCGGAAGTCCACTGTGTTTTGCTAATCACAAAAACATCATCTGCGGCTTCGAGGAAATTTTCCGCGAGACTCAGCCTGAAAAGCCCCAGTTCATGTAAGTAAACCACTCAGAGTTTATGACCATACAAAGCTGGGAAAAACTCGTAGCATTGCCACTGTAGAGGCCCGTTCACAGCGGCGATGTAAAGCAGTCGCGCGATGCGACTGCTCTCGATGATGGTCACCCATGGCGTGCGCGATGAGCGAGTGGCTTCTCGAAAGCTCTCGCTCCGAACGCCGCTGAGTGGCTCAGCCGGCCCGGCGGCTAGATCGCATCGGAAAACATCGGGTCAGCTAGCGACTGCTCAAATCGCGTCGTTTTGTTTCCGCGATGGTCGCTTTTGGGATGAAAGATATCGCGCGACTAGATCGCTTCGCCGGTGTGAACGCGCCTTATTAGTTATTTAATAATCTAGAGCATTCGACACCACTCGTTAGAGCGGAAATAGACACGCTACTATCGGCGTGACAAGCATTTTAACATTCGGGTGGGACTTGCTTAATGGCATTTGCAGTCTTTCTGAAGGAACCACTTCGAAGATCCACAAAACAAATAATTTAAAGTTAGAAAATTATCCTTATTAGTTTATGAACATAAAGCTGACACATAGATTTATAAATTGTTGACCTTCTCAACTTACCTTACATCAAAGTCATACATAGATTGGACTTGGTGAATGGAGGGATTAAAACGTTTCTAAATAATATTTTAGATGATAAGGTCGAGCTATAATCACTCACAGGACATGACCGGTAAGCATTTGACAGATGACCCGGGAAAAATAAGGTTGTTGTAATATTACAACCTGTACGTATGAATTTCACTTTCAGAGATGAAACCAAAAATCTAAAATCAGCGAAAGCCATTGTTCTAGATTGTTCTGCGATCAGTTTCATAGACTCTGTTGGCCTCGCTGCGCTGAACGTGGTAAGCAAAATTTCTCTTAACTGCAGCATCTATCAAGAACCAGTCAGCTGAATCTAATGCGAAATGGTCAAACATTTGCACAGCGCTCGTATGCTCAGAAAGTACGAATAAAATAGTTTTAAATAGTGCACACAGACGCAGCATTTTTACGTGCACACATTGCTGCTCTATGTTAGGTTATTCCAACATTCTGTTGTGTGGAAATCAATTAGTACATTTATTGAGATTATTCTTAATGTGAGGGCCAACTCGTGGCTGTTTATTTTCAAAATAATTTTCCCAAATGTCTGAGACTGAAGAACAGGCACATAGTCTATAGGGTACATTCACAAGTTAAAATGGTTAACTTTAGATACTACACAAGCATCATTATTTTTATCAACCTGATACTGGGGAACAGACAGACAGAAACACACACATACACACATACACACAGAGACAGACAGACAGACACACAGAGAGACGGACAGACACACAGGCACGCACATACACACATACACAGACAGACAGGAACAGAAACAGGCATCTATGAGCTGATTTGCTCAACCTGACTTCCTAAGCAAACCTCCTTGCTTTTCCAGGTTGTTGAAACATGCCATGTGAACAAATGTCAGCTGTTTCTTGCGTCACTGCCAAGTAAGTTCTTCTTTTCTTAATCGCTATACCGTCGTGCTTTCCAAGGAAAGCAATCGTTCCCAGTGACGCCGTCAAAGAGCAGATGATTCCGCGCCGAGCCTTCCCTCACTTCCGAACGCGCAAACATTGAAGAGGCTGATGAGGTACCTGTTCAACAGACTTGGGAAGTAATTTCGTTACAAGTAACAGATTTCCTGTAATCCGTTACTTTTTCAGGTAATTTTGTAATTACCGCGTTTTTTTCTGCGGCAATATACTTCGTAATTTAATTTAGTTACTAATATTGGTAACGAATTATCTTAATTACTCGTTACTTTTTAAAAATATGAACATACCACAGAAACCAGAGCAATATCAGCAGGTGATTCAGCCGCGTGAAAATAGCAAGTTCAATAAAATAGAAAACATCGTGAAAAGGAGAATAACTGAAACGAAACCACGATATTTTGTATGACAGGCCACTAGAACCATTAGAAATACGTGCAAAGATATATAAAAATATGCGAAAAACAAAGATCAAGAAGACAACGCCGAGTAGGCCCTGCCTCTCCATCGCCTTCCAAAATTGTTTTCGTCTTTTGCTGAACAGGGGAAAGCTCTTCGTGTTTATTTGTTTTTTACTTTTACACCTTTTCACCCGTTCAAACTTCTTCGAGGTCCCCCGACACCTGCACAGACATCAAACGCGGATCCGTTCACGCATATACTGACAGTGCATCAAAGCTACAAGCACAAGACCGCAGCTTTAAAACGTTGTGCTCACGCTTGAAACGCCCGTTTCAGAAGGGAGCTTTCGCGGTTCCTTACATCCGAATCTCCCAGCGGATATCTACGCTGCTACTGAGCATGCGCACCACTAGCTTTGTCTGCGGAATTTCAGGAATCATTTTCGGTCGTCGTAAGCTGATGGCGGGTGTGGTTGCAGGTTTTGCGACATTGTTAGCTTACAGGTGAATGGTGCGTGGGTATGAGAAATAGAAACTAGGGTTGCAGAACATTCTGGAAAACATCCCACTTGTTTCTATTGTTGTCTCGATAAATGTATGAGAAAAGTAACGTGAAAGTAATTTGTAATGTTACGAGTAAAGTAATCAGTTATTTTTCAGCAAAAGTAGTTTGTAACGGTAATCCGTTACATTTGAGGCGCGGTAATTTGTAATTGTAATCCATTGCATTTTCTGAGTAACGGGCACAAGCATGTTGTCCAAGGACCCGCGAGGGGAAAGGACGCTCTTGTTACGTACCTTTGCAGTCTTGCCGGACGCAGACCTCCCACGTGGTCACACCCCGGCCCGGGCGTCTCTCGTCCCATTCCCCGAAGAACACGGGAACAGAGCCGCCCCCTCGCTCAAACTCCGAGACCTAAACGTCTCCAGTCGCGTCCATCGTCCGTTAGGACCCGGCCCGAAGGCCGAGGAAGCGGGTCCCCACTTCTCAGCGGGGGTCAGGGGGGTCAACTCCCGCTGCGCCGGATGGCACGCTCGGCGTCACGCGCGGAAGCCGCACCCCACCCACGCCGCGTCGGTCGGCACGTTCAGCGGCGTCAGAATGCCGAGCCCGAGACTCTGGTCAATTTTTGTGCGGTCGTTGGCGCTGCAGGAAGCCGAACCCGACCTCTGGGTGGCCGATCGTAACAATGCTCATACAGACCTTTCCCTTCTTTTTCTCTCCTCCTACAGTCCTCTTTACATTTTCGACGCCCCCACCCCATATGATCGTCTGCAAAATTACTTTGTGACAAGCCTGGTTCATTATACACGTTCACAGCTGGCTGAACGTTACACTATAAAAAAGCATTTTTAACTGTCATTTCTAGCTTCAAAATTTACAGGGAAATAAAATTTATTAATTGGGTTGTGCGTAATATATTAGTTGAAGTGAGGGTTTCCTGACCACTTCGATACGTATATATACTCAATATTATGAAGTTTTAGTAGGTCGCCCTGTTGACTCCGATAACGATACCCGACACTCCACCGCAGCCTTTGCACATGCATCGTATCGCTATCAGGCCCCGTTATCGGAGGTATTGAAACGATCTGCTAAAACTCAATTAAAAAAAAGAGACGTTGACCATTCCCTGAAGTGTCGAACTAGAGCGCAGCTCTTGAGGAGGAGGTGGGGAAGGTACGGAGGGGAGGGTAGACCCCTTCTCCTCCATGTCCTCCCCTCCTCCTTCCCTTTTCCTCCCTCCTCCTCCTCTCATTGTCCTCCCCTCCCCCTACCTTCCTCCTCCCCTCCCTCGTGACGTCACTCGTGACCCTCGTGACGTCACACGTGACGCCACGTCTTACGTCATTATGGGAAACGTCCCATAATGCAACGCGCGGTTACGCCGACGGCGACGGCGACGCCGCTCAAGCCGGAAACGGGCGCCTAAGGAATGCGCTCTAAAAAAAAAAAGAAAGACCTTGTTCGTTGTAGAGTTACTGTCGCAGAATGGGTGTTCTCAAATGTTTATTGAACTACTTCGTGCATACCGTCGTAATAGAAAGTAGAGAGGACAACGGTATCAGTCAGTTCACCCAATCAAAGTCACCCGAACATATTATAGAACTTCGATAAGGTTGATCGTCAGAACGTGCTGGTGACAGTCTTTATTGGAAGTTTATAATCGAGGATCGCGACGAACGTTCATGGCAGTTTCGTAGAAGACGGCCTTTCTCCTTACTAGCTGGAACCCTGAGCAGCGTCCAGTCCCAGCCGGACCTGGCGTCAAGGATAGGCGTCGGTCGCATGGCTCCGACCATCCAGGACGCGCTGGCCCTCGTCAAGAAGGAGCTGTCCGACTTGGAGACAAAACATCGATTGGACATTCTTGTGTGACGTGGACATTCGGCCACCAGCCTAGTTGCTTCTTACCTGCGACGCCTAATCTACTTCACTCTGAGGATTGCTCCCCTGCCGGCGTGCATTCGCACTTCCGCTGACGACAGAGGTTGGTCCTCTTGGACCGGCCGTCAACGCAGATGAACTGCTGTGATGATAATAAAAAAGTAGAATGTACAATAATAATAATAGATACGCCACTCTCAAATGTCTGAAAAAGAACTGCTGCGATTGTTAGTTTGCAATAAACTGAAGGCGCTTAGAGTGACATATATTGCTCTCTGATCTTCCTTTTGGCATGAGTTATGCCTATATACTTGATACTGTAAACGACTTAATTTTCGCTAGGAGCTAAATTTTGCGAATTTCTTGATTCGCCAAAAATTAATCCCGCGAACATATTCTCACACGATAAAGAATATACAGCGTATCCCTCCTATTCGCGAAATTTTGTGCCCACGAAATGTTCCCCAAACCCACATCTCGCCAAATTCGCGAAATATTGAGCCGAAGAAAATAAAGTATTTTAACATTCATTATGGTTCAACGTGTTTTTTTTTTTAATATATTTTCTAGTAAATCTCTCTTATTTCTACTGTATTAATTTATTGTTAAATAAATTTGTCTCCTTTTTTTATTTCGTAACTAATGTACATCGTTGCGCTCTATTTTGCGTAAGATTTCTTTTTTTTTTTTTGTATGCTAGAAATGAAGTGGCTCTTGCTGAAACTAAAGAGGGACTCGTCAGGCCTCTGGTCTCGGTCACCTCCCGGTGAGCAGGAAAGAAATGAAGAAATAAAAATTAAATGAAATGTAAGTACCTATAGTCACTAACAAAATGAGAACGGCAGGGTGCGTATTCCGAACGCACGGCTTCCAGCACGCCCTCCACGCCTTCCGCCGTGCTTCAGCTGCGCGCGCGCGAGACGCCTAAGTATTGTCGAAGGTTGGAAGCTACATGGCGGAAGGAAGGGAAGAAAAATTGGGAGCCATTCCACTCTGTGGGTGGATGACCAGCGAAGCTGTTTAGCACGCGACACAGACGTGACGCAGAATTTTGAACAAAGGTACGAACACATTTATCGTCTTGATCAGAGGTCACTGTGACGAAAGGTACGCAAAATTCATGAGACAAGCTATTGATTAGGCTCGATAGTTCTTGTTGCTCCTTCGGTAGATTGACCAGTTGCCATCAGCCCTATTTTCCGCGTACTTCCGACCGAACTTCGAGAAAATTGATCATATGCGTCCAACGCAGACGCAGTCAGGATTTTATTTCGGAAAAGAGGGGGAGCGGGGATAGGGGGAGAGAGGGGTGGGGCGGGCCCGCCCACGACAAAATGCTGTATGAGGTGGAGGGGGGAGAGGAGGCCCCAGCAAAATGTAAGAGTTTTCGGGAAGGGGGGGGGGGGGGGGGGGGAGGGGCGCACGCGATATGCAAAACTTGGTTAGCGTTCGGCGCATGCGCAGTGGCGACGACGCTATTTTTTGCGTGCGCAAAGCTTTAGCGTGCGCTATTCTAAAAGTCCCTCATATTTTAACGCTACAGCGTTTTGGAGCTCGTGTCGCAAAAAATCCAGCGTCGGTGTCGGTGGGACGAACAAATCTCATCATAATACAACGCGCGCAGCCTCATGTGGCGTCACACGTGGCTGCGACGTCTTGACTCTATCGCCTCCCTAAATTTAGCGAAAACTTTTCCCGCCAGATTTAGCAGAATGTTTTCCCGCCAAAGTCAGCAGAACATTTTCCCGACATGTTTAGCGGAAAATTTACCTGCCGAGTTTGGGAAAATTTTCCCGTCAAATTTAGCACGAAATTTCCCCGCCGAATTTAGTGAGAAATGTTGCCACCAAATTTAGCGGAACATTTTCCCCACAAAATTAGTGGACAATTTTTCTGCCAAATTTGGCGGGAACGTTTCAACGAAAACACGTGACGTCATGCGACACGTGACGCTACCGACTATACCACGCACACACGCTTGCCCAGCTTGGGAACGAACGCGGGTTTAATAAGAAGGCTTTGCGAATGGGGCCCGATCGATCTTAAATCGGCTCTGCAATGACTTTTCACTGGATTTTAAACTGCACCGAACCTGAGCGCACTGAACGTAGTAACTTAATGAAACTTTTTTTTCTCGAATTTTGATTTATTTTAAAAGTTATCGGCAAGTTAAATATACGAGAACCAGCAAAAAATAACCTTCTTCATGACGTCCCTGGTTGCTTGAGTGGCCGTGAACTAGAGGAGGGATAGTCAGCTCAGCGAGCGCTCACGGCTGCCGCACTCTGTGTCGACGGCTCAAGAGGGCGCCACTAAAGCATGTTCTGGATAGGCTGTATGAAGCGGGCGGCCAAGGCGGTTCGCACTGCATTTGCTGCGCGATTAAACACTAATCCAGCATGACACTTCATTGGCCACAAAACGACAGCAAACACGGGGTAAAGATCAGTTCAGAGCGGGAGCCATGCACTTCGCGCGGCCATACCGCCAAACGCCCAAACCGCAAGCCAAACCTGCTCGCGAAAGCCTTTGGAATGCTCGGAACCGGCCGGTCCTCGGGCCTGACCGTCTTGCCGCCGCGTACATCAGGGACCTTTCTACGCTCGCCGCTCGTCGGTGCCTGATCTCAGAACTTTTCTAGTATGCGTCGCTTGGTGTCGGGTATATGTCGACGGGTCATTTCTTATTTCCGTATTTTATAAACTGCATTTGTTTGTTTTATGATCTAAAATACTGAACAAAATCTACTTTTATAACTAATTAAAACGGTTCACGCCACTTATATTTTGTATTTCGACTAAAAAGAATTCTTTTAGCAGCTCTGCCCAGTAGTAAACCCAGGACCAAAGACTTCACATTTTGCGCGCTTTCGGCACCGCGGGTCGCCCTCGTAGGTGGAGGAGGTTTCCGCGTCGCCCGGTTAAAATATGACGCACCGATATTTAGTTACTCTCTCCGTGCCCGCTGGCTTGCACGAACCTCAAGAGACGTAGAAACCGCAAAAAAGGTAGGCGCTGAAATATGATTGCAGGGCCCCTTTAAGTACAATAGGCTATCCGCCATATTACCATCCAAAAATTGAAAAGTTTAGTCGTGGAGGTCCTTCATTATGTTTATTATTTATATAATGTCATTACGTTACATTACCTCGAGACGATCGACGTCCATCGTCGATCTTCAAATATACATGTATATAAATTAGACGCACAATCACAAAGAACACAGCGTGCCGCCTTTTTTCTTTGGATCGTCTTCTTGAAACCAGCGTAAGCTCGCGCGTTCTCTCTTCTGAGGCGGTTAGAAAGGTCGCACATAAAACCCGCGTTTCTCCTACCCAGCCGCTTCCTCCTTTCATTAGTTGGTTATAACTAAATAAGCTATAATAATGGTGTAATATTTATATTTAGTTTCAGTTTCAGCCAGATGAAAGGGGGTTCGCGGGAACTAGCCACTAAATTAGCTGAGCTTAGAGTGTCGGCACTCCATTCCCCGACATTCTTGAGGGCGCCACTATTTTGGTTCTTGCGCAGAGCAGACGGAACTGCCTATCGTCATGATTCGAAAATGCGATTTCCTCAGCATTGGACTCCGTGTTAGGAAGCTCGTGTAATATTGCTTTGCCTTGTGACGAACTGTTTAAACATTTGTGGAGGACGGAAAAAGCGTTTCCTATGATTTCAGATAAAGCTTCAGATAACTGGCAACCATGATTTTAAGCCACAATATGGCCAAGTGTCGCTACTCTGAAGCGTAGCTAATAGACCCTTTCCGGAATTCAGTGCCATCTGGTGACTCAAATGGCAGTTTATCTTTTACTATACTAATGGCGGCAATGAACCTGTGGTACACACTAAACATTATAACACCCATAATCGTGTAAAAAGGGTGTAAGTTAGAAAAAACACCCTTCTTACACTTCATTTACACGATATTTGAATATCGGTGGGTGTAAGAAGGGTGTGCTGATGTTTTTCATCCCTTTCACACCCTTTTTACGACCTCGCTTATTGCAATGGCGTCTGAAATCGTGTAAAAAGGGTGTATGGGCGAATTATACGCCCTGTATTAACACGGTGTGAAAGGGGCGTTATGGTGATGCCAGTCTAATACACCCATGATTTCATATCCGTTAAAGCTTATTGCTTTGCTGAAACTGTTGCTGATGTACGGCGGTATAAACATCCAGTATAATTAATCGCTACACGAAGTCGCGTATGGTTAGGAAATGATGGAGTTTTTGCAACTCCGATCGAACTCACCGTCCGACACGAGCCGAAAATTACGTGTCGCGTGCGCGTCAGTTTCATCAGTTCAACTTCGATTTAAAAACAAAACATCTCCACTCGCAAAAGATGAACGAAGACGTGTCAATATACAACCCAAACAGCACACAGCATTGCGCCGATATAGGATCAAATATGAAAAATTGCGCCGTTACCATTTTGGTCCAGCCAATATCTGTGAAAAAAAGGATGGGTCGCGGCGACGCCATCCTGACATACCGTAGGCGATGCCGTTTTTGGTTGAGCGTCAAGATTCCCGCATGAATGGCCTATGCCGGCGAGGTATGTCTATTTCTTAACCGCCTAAAATCCGACGTTAAAAAAAGAAAAGAAAAACAAGATGAAGCAAAACGGAATCTGCTTACTTTTAACCAGAGAAAGATCTGCGCTGAACCACTGAACAAATTATGGGCCGTGGCGCCCTCATTTCGTGTATTACAAACTCACCTGACTGGCCCTCGCACTACTTATAGCACCTTCACTGAGATTTTATTTTTGTGTGTAGTTCTGACGAAACACTTCCGCAAGACAATCGAAAGTGCCGAATTTATGACACCCCGGCTAGAGTACGCGATCCTTAGTTGACACCAAAATATCTAGCCTCCCGACGCTTTTTTTTTCGTTTTTTTTTTCTTTTTTCGTACGGGTGAAATTGCATCTCTTGTTTTATGCGTTCGAATTTGTTTTGTGTTATTTATTTCGTAATTTCGCGGTCGGCATCAGAGCACGCACGCCACTGCGTGAAGCAAGTCCTGACGTGTCCCATTTTGCGACCCTCCTTGGGCAGCCCAGGTGGCTTATACAAAGCCGCAGA